TACATATATTGCTAAAAATAAAGTATACTCCATTTCACTATTAAAATACACAGCTTCATACAGAAAAATTCATTTCTAATATAATTGACACTAAGATGCACATGTGTTTCTAATCTCGATATAGCTGATTATTATTACTCACAGTCAGTTACTTTCTGAGCTCCTTGGCATCTGAGCATGGACATAAAGTCATCAGGTAGATTTCAATGATAATGTTTTTCACATCTACTAGTTATTAAGGAGCAAATTTTTATGCTTTGAAGAATTATTTTTTTTAATCATTATTTTTTGAATTTTTAATAACTACATGGTTAGAAGAAGCATTCACTACAGCACACGTGTGCATTAAATAAATAAATAAAATATTTTAAAAAATAAAAATATTTCTTACTGTGTGTTTTCAGAACGCCTCCTTAGATGGAACACCAATGCAGTGTTTGCTCAACACATAGCTGTGGCTTGGTTCCCCAGTCTGTCTGTTATTTGACTAAGGTTTGAGGGTTTATGACAATGCACAAGGGGTTGAAGATGCAGAAGAATTTGTCCCTCAGATGTTGAACCCCCGTGGCACTGTGTAGCACGGATGTATCCTATGAAAGTTTAATTGCATCATTTTGAGAGCTGTGTAATTGCCTTTTAGCAGCATATTAAAGTCTTTGTGTGCATTGGACTGTACAGAGTAGCCGTGATGTTTTCACAGGCCACCGCGTTCCTGTTCTCCTTCCAGGCATACCATCTGCAAGAATTGGCAGATGTAATACATACAAAGGAGGATGGATCTCTGGCAACTTCCCATGTTAACCTGAGAAATGGCATTTGTGATTGTTGATGAACCCTGCCTATGTTTGTCTTTCTATAAAGTATTGGGATATAGAGTAACTTCATATGCTTTCCGATTTCATAGGTCGTTTTTGGATGAGCTAAAGACATGTGTGACTTCTGGCGATATTGAAGGCATTGTGTGCCTCACAGCTGTTCTGCATATTATTTTGGTTATTAACAAAGGTTGGTTACATTTCGTCCCCTTCATCTAGTGCAATACTGCCTCCACTGTTAGGGATGTTTGGGGGCTTTGGCCTGTTTCACCTCTCCTCTGCCAGGGCATTCTTCTCATAGCCTTTCTACCTCTGCTCCCTGGTGCTTTCTGAGTACAGTGCTGTCCACTGGGCCTGTCTTCGTGAACTTGCCTGCTCTGCAGTGCAACTCCTGTCCCTTTCATTTTCTCTTTTGGCTACGTTTAAGCAACGCTCTGTAGTTGAGAATTCAGTAACTTCTTCCCTTTGGTTCCCTTCCCTCCTTCTCCAGCCCATGCCCTTCCTTTTCCCTTCCTCCTCCTCTTCTTGCCTTGCATTGGCAAGTGCTTTATCACTGAGCTATGTCACCAGTTCTCTTAAAACTTTTAATTTAATTTGTTATTCTTGTTGAGGCAGTCTCACTATACAGCCCTGGGTGGCTTAGAACTCACTATGTAAGCCAGGCTGGCCTTGAACTCACAGACATCCTCCTACCAATGCCTCTGCTGAGATTAAAGACATGTGCCACCACACTTTTAAATTTTGAGATACTGTCTGACACACTTGTTTAAGCGGGTCTTGAATTCACTCTGTAGCCCAGGCAGGTCTTGAACTTGGAATTCGCCTTAGTCTTACTGGTAGCTGAGATTATAGGCTTATGCCACCAAGCCCAGCTTAGAATTGAATTTCTGTTAATACCCTGTGCTCCTTAAGTTTAAAAATCTGGGTAAGCCTGATAGCACAGGCCTGTAGCCCTAGCTACTCAGGAAGCTGAAGCAGGAGGATTGTTCAAACTTAGGAGTTTGGGGCAACATAGTGAAATCTAGTCTCAAATCAAAATTCTAGATGAATTTGTGTTAATGGTGGTCATGTTGGTGTTAGGCCTCTTTCACATATTCTAGCTAACAGAAAAAGTATAGGGAAAATACTTGCCAACACATGTAACATGCCAACCTCAGAGTGAAGTTCAGGAACATCTTTACATATTATTGGTTCAATTTTACTGATATTGAAATCTGTTTTAAGTTTAATATCTTTCAGATAAAGATGCTCCTGTCCCATGGGTTGGGGTGCCTGACGCATCTGTAATCTGTATAGGTATACGAAGGTTGAGTACCCTTCGCCCATCACTTAGGGCCAGAGTTCTATGAGGTTTTGGAGTTTTTAGGTTTTGTAGTATTTATATAAACTATACTGGTTGAGAGTTCCTAGTTTGAAGTGTGTGTGTGTCTTTTTGAGACAGGGTCTCTCTGTAGCCTCAGTTGACATGGAACTCACTATGTGGACCAAACTGGCCTGGTTCTCACAGAGATCTGCTTGCCTCTGCCTCCTGCATACTGGGATTAAAGGTGAGTGCCATCACACCTGGCTGTCCTAATTTGAAATTTTAAAATGGGAAGTATTTCACAATCTGAAACACATATAAGTGAGCAGAGGTTTTAGATTTTGGATTGTTTCAGATTATAGATTTTTTTTAGGGTTAGAGTGCTTAGTCTGTGAAGCTTTTTAGCTTATGAGACCCAGTTTAGGCACCAAAAAGGCTTGTCTGAGCACTCTGCTGATTCAGATATATGGAACACTTGAGATATGCAAAACAAGGGCTATTATTTCCCATGAGATGTTAAACACTACGTGGGTACTCAGATACCCATTACATAAGCAGGTGGATGATATGTGCTAGTCTGATATGTCACTCCTGTCTGGTGGTGGCATGGGTGAGAACCTTGTGATCCCCACTCATAGCAGATATGCTCAGTTATAGAATTCCTGGAGTAAGCCAGGGTTTACTTTGAAAAAATGACCCCATATACACAACAGAGTACATACGTTTCTATAGTGATGCTGAGATCTTTTCTCTTTCAATGCAATCTTCTCACAGGTAAACATAGAAGTGCAAAGGTGAAGGAGGCTGCAGCTACCGTACAGAGAAAGCTCAAGACGTTTATGGAGATCACTCTAGAAGAGGATAGCCTTGAAAGGTAAGTGTGAGGCTCACTCCAGCTGTGACCACCTGAGAACTGGGCCTGCTTGGGAATGCTCTTTTATTTCAGCTGCTTACAGCCAAGTGTAAGGATGGGGACATTTAATGTACTAATTCTTTGTCTTCAGAAACAAAATTGTCATTTGTAAAATTCTGCTTTAGAAAAGGGCATTCACTCTTGATTCATTATTTTCAGATAAGACACTGTTTGGGTTCGCTTGCTTCATTTTGAAACCATAGACATTTCCCAAGTATAAATGCGGGTCTCTGTTGGAGTGGCACAGCCCCTCCTAAGCCTTTGGTGAGATGCGTTTTCTTTCTTCCTGTGAGGCCTGTGGCTGCTCACAGATTATTGGTGACCAGCATGTTCCTGGGCTTTTTTCTCACTAACACCTCTTGGTGCACAGTGCTGTTCCTTTTCCTGTAGACTAAGAATCAAGGGTTGCCAGGTGTGAGAGTAGGCAGTCCTTGTTTTACATGTGCTAGAGAAGCAAACCACACATCGTAGCTACCTCCTCCTTTGGAGAAAGCCTTTCAAAACCGTAAATTGCTAATTTATGAATAAACTTCCAAGTGTGGCTTTTTGTAGGCTTGCTATATAGGCATAAAGGTGTGTGCTGCAACACCCAGCTACTTATTTCAAATTTCTGAAACATTGGTTTTTTGTTTTGTTTTGTTTTTTGTCCCCCCCGCCCCCCCAATCATCTGAGGCTTAGATAATTGGTAGTTTTAGACAATATACATATATATGTATGTATACATACATACGTACATACATGCATACATACATAATGTGTGTGATATTTTAAATATGAACATACACCATGTGTGAATGACACTGTGTGGCCTATCAGTCAAGTGAAGCCATTCAGCTGCCTTTGTGTTGGGAACACTGGCCTGTATGCTCATAGTAATGCACCTTTAGCTATGTAATCTTGTGTCATTGAATCTGTCTGTCCCAGCATCTCTTTTCCTTCATTCACTACCCTCCTTTCACACCTTGGAGACTTTTCCAACTCAGTAGAAAGAACCCTTCCTATGAAATTCACACACAACCCTACCTGTGTGGAGGGCAGGAAAAGCACGTGGGGATGGGTCAACGGAGTTGACTTATAAAGTAGTAAGATGGATCAGGTGTCAAATGATATGGAAAGCAGTTCCAGAAGAGTTGAAGTATTTCAGATACCTCCTTTGGCTAGATGAGGTGGCTTTTAAGTGTTTGGGATTGTGGTTTAGGAAGTCCTTGATGTTCCTTGTACTGTGTGGCTTTGTTGCTCTTGTAAATTATAAAATGTTTCTGCGTAAATAGGATGGGAAGAATAAACAAGAGGGCAAACAGAATACATGTCCCATGAAAGCAGAAGAGGAGCTGTTGGTAGATGCAGAGCAGTTGAGGGAGGTCGTGGGGCAGGTGAGGGATTTGGAGAAGAAGATCAACATGAACAAAGAATATATGAAAATGTCGTAGTGAAACCTATTACTTTAACTTTTAAAACTAATTTTAAAAACTGGAAATCAATGGAATAGATCATGGCCCTCAGTACCTTTGAGGAATTGATTGACTCCAATATTTTTGGAGATTACTGAAATCACTGATGGTGTAGGATTTGTATATATCTTATGCATACCCTTGGGGTACTTACAGAGTCACCTCTAGATTTCTGATAACCTGTGAGCACTATGTGTATATTGTCCTTGTCAAGCAGTGCAGTATAGGAAAAATAAATCTGTATTTGTTCAGTACAGATGAGGCTTTTTTTTTTTTTATTCTAAATCTGCGGTTTGAGTTCATGGATGTGGAGGCCATGGGTACAAAGAGATGACTGTATTAGTAGATCTGCTAATATCGAATAGTTCTTGTAATGTTAGAATAAAAAAGTGGGCTTAGTTTGTTTTAAATTTTTTATTGAGCTTTTGTATTTTCATACAACAGTTCTTAATCAAATTTAGACCCTCTCTTCTATCCATGCCTCCCCCATCCCCCTACCAGATCTTGTGTATTCCGCTGTACATGGTAAGTCCTATCTAGTCATAGATTTGTACCCAGACGTCCCTCAGTGTAAATTTGTCCACTGGAGTCTAGTCAGCCCATCTAGAGATTGTGTGTAAGTCACACTGTCCCTCACCCAGTAACAGTCTCCAATAGTTCTCAGTCTAGGGCTGGCCCCACCATCCATTTCTATCCTCCCCTTTGGGCCCTTGTTTAATTGAGTTGACATAGGTCCTGTGCTTGATGTCACCATTGCTGCAAGTTCACATGTGCAAGCTTCCAGTGGCCTGAAAGTCTCTGCTTCCTTGTGTTCATGAATCAGCCCTGGCTCTTTAAATCTTTCCACCCCCTCTTCTGCAATGGTCCTGAGCTGTGGGTGGTGGGTGAGGTTCAGTATCGGAGTCCTTTCCAGGGACACATACTCTACAGTCTCTTATTCTTGAAAACTTTGCCAGTTGAGGCCTTCTGTGTGCGTCTGTGTCATGCAATGCTTGTGAAGTCAGAAGAGGGCATTGGATTCCCCTGGAACTGAAGTTACGAACAGTTGTTAGCCACCACGTCACCATGTGGGTGCTGGGAACTGAGCCTAGGTCCTCTGCAAGAGCAGTCAGTGCTCTTAACCACTGAGCCATCTCTCCAGCCCTAAAGTGGTTTTTAGTCTGCGTTTCTCTAATTATTAAGGATGTTGAGTACTTTTTCAGATGTTTCTTAGCCATTTTTATTTCTTCGTTTGAGAACTCTTTGTTCAGGTCTATTACCCCTCTTTTTATTGGGTCATTTATTTTCTTGTTTCTTTGTTTTTTTTTTGAGTTCTTTATGTATTCTGGATGCAGCTGGTACAGATTTTCTCTCGCTTAGTGGGTTTCCTCTTCCCTTCCTTGGTTGTTTCTTTTGCTGTACAGAAGCTTTGTAGCTTAATGAAGTCCCACTTACTGATTATTGACCTTACTGCCTGAGCAGCTGGTGTCTGAATTCAAAAGTCCTTTCCTACACCTATATCTTGGAGGATACTGCCTATGTTTTCTTCTAGCATTTTCTGAGTTTCAGGTTTTATATTGAGGTCTTTGATCCATGGGAATTGACTTTTGTGCAGGGTGAAAGATAAAGATTCAGTTTTATTCTTCTGCAGGTAGAGATCCAGTTTTGCCAGCATCATTTGTTGAAGATGCTCTCTTTTCTCCATTGTGTTTTCTTGGCACCTTTGTTGAATATCAGGTGGCTGAGATTGCATATGCTCATATTTGGGTCTTCTGTTGTGTTCCATTGATCTTACATGTCAATTTTTGTGCCAATACCATACAGTTTTTCTGACTAGCTCTGTAATACCTGAGGTCTGGTATGGTGATTCCCCCTAGTGCTGTTCTTTTTGCCCAAGATTGCTTTGGCTAGTTGGGGTCTTTTGTGATTCCGTATGAATTTTAGGATGATTTTTTTGAAGCTCTGTGAAGAATATCATGGGTATTTTGATTGGCATTGCATTGAATCTATAAATTGCTTTTGGTAAGATGGTCATTTTCACAATATTGATTCTACTGACCCATAAACATGGGAGGTTTTTCCATGTCCTAGTGTTTTCCTCTTTCTCTTTCTTTAGAAATTTGAAATTTTCGTTGTGGAGATCTTTTTAGGTTTGTTTATTTAGGTCTTTGTTTAGGTTTATTCCTAAATAATTTTTTTGAAGCTATTGTGAATGGGAGGTTTTCCTTGACTGCTTTTCTGATTGCTTGTTATTGGTATATGGAAAGGCTACAGATTTTTGTATGTTGGTTTTGTAAACTGCCACCTTATTGAAAGGATTAATCTGTTCTAACAGATTTCTAGTGAAATTTTTGGGATCTCTTATAATATATTGTCTGCAAATAGAGATAATTTGACCTCTTCTTTTCCAATTAGTAATACTCCTAGTTCCTTCTCTTGTCTTATTGCTCTTGCAAGAGGTTCGAGCACTGTATTGAAAAGGAGTGGAGATAGTGGACAGCCTCGTCTGGGTCCTG